CCCCAAAACCCCAAAACCCCAAAACCCCGAGTTAACGAATTGATTTCGCATAGGATAGAGATAATTGTTTAAAATTAAATTTATCTTTATGTATATAAATCAACATTTTTACATTTTGAGAGATCATTTTAATTTTCATTGAAGAGCTAAATATAATGGCATGATATTTAGTAAAATCAATGAGGTATGATCTCTTTTTGCAGGTTGAAATTGAATATTTTATTCATAACTTAATCATCATTAACCTATTAAGGTCATTTTATGTTCTACCACTAAATGGAATCAGCAGTACTACGTGATACATCTTTATTATTTGTATGGAAAGCTTTTTTACCAGGTACAGGGATACGATCACCTGAGTCACAGTGAGTAGACCTACAAAAATGCCAAATAGCATGTTATAGTAGCCATTAAGTTTATTAAAAAAGCTTTGTATGATCAAGAGACTTTCCCCTCTCATATATTCGAAAGCCTGTTTCAAATATATTTCATGAAGTGATATGAGCTCGTTAGACTGTTCTCTTTTCAAAAGCTCTTTTATTATTTAAATCTGTTCTGTATCATTCATTAGGGGAACAGTATCATCAAAAATGAGTCTAGTGCTTTGTAAGTTTCTTAAGAAATGAAATAGAGTCTCAGTTAAACCTTTTACTAGAATCCCATTCATTACCTCTCCACATTGGTAAAAATCTAGGCCTCGATATCTTGATAGGGTTTCACAGATACTATCCCCATTGAATTGTGAATTAAGGCTGACGAAAGTGTCAATTGTTGAGTCTGCTACCTATCCATCCAAAAGTAGATTAAGGTAAGTCTGTTCTTTTTCCAAGCAACTTTCTATAAAATATTTGCTTGCCATCTTTTGATCTTTATACTTGATATTTTTGTTTCTAGCTAAGGTATCAATAGTATATGATGCAGCATTTGTGTAGCATTATATCCTTTCGCCAATCTCATCGAAATTCTTGGAATACATTCTTTCATACTAATGTACTAAGTTCAGATAATAACTTGTAATACCAAAATAGATAGCTATTACCAGCGCCACAATGATCAAATACAAGAACTTCTTAACCTTTTTCCTTCTAAATGTGAGGTTAATTTAAACTTTCCTAGATTTTTCTCTTTCTCTTTGTTTTATTTCTGTTTCTGTTAGCTCAACATTTTCTTCTTAATCATCATCATCTAGTAATTCAGATGTCTTAGCCTAGTTTATTTCAAGCTCAATCGTACCACCATAATTTCTTCTTGCTCTTTAAGCTTATGACATTTACTAGGCTTGATACTGATTTTGATTAGCTCTTACTTTTGACAATGAAGTTATTTTAGATGAGGTAATGGAAGCAGTGGCTGAACCCCTTGATTCAGTACTAGCTGAGTCATCACCAAACTTATTCTTTTACTTGCTTGTTGCATTATTAGATTTAAGCAGTGTACTCTTATCAATGTCTGAATCTGAATCATAACTGCTACCACTATTTTGAGCATTGTAGTTCTTGGTATTTTTAGGTAGCTTAAGGATTTACCTATTTTGCTTTCTATGTTCATGCTTTTTTATCATTTAATGTGTGGATTTTTCACCCTCTTTTTACTCATTCAGGAAGTGAATAATTTCCATACAAGCTTTGGTTTCATTCAAGCAGAATACTTCTGGTAATCTATTTAAAGACATCAGAGTAAGTTGGCTTATTTTTTCAATGTGAGTTAATGTTGGCAAACTAGTTGGTAGTAAAACTATAACAAGGAATATACTAATGCCTGCCAGTACAAGTGCTATAAGTGCTGCTTATCTAGATGAATCGTATATTTAATCTTTCGTCTTAACTTGTAAATCCATTAGTCCTTGGACTATTGAGCCTAGGCCATTTTATATAATATAGAAGATGTCTTGCTAGATATCATTTATAGGTGAAGTTGTTTTGTTTTTAGAAATATCCCATTAAAATGAAATAATAGGTACTGTAATATTTAAGAATCTCTCCTGCTTATAAGTTGATAGTTTCAGTATCTTTGAACTGAATAAGTTGAGTGCAGTCTGCATAGATTGACTAAGATTCTTAACGCTAGCATCTGATTAGACATCATTTACTAAAATTCTGTAGGCATCAAAGCTCACTTTATCCTTTAGAGTAGTTTTCATTTCATTTTATATTTGCTCAAATCTCTAACTAGTCTATGCAAGCTGCTTTGAATAGAAGTTATATTTGGTCTTATAGTAAAAATCAATAATTTCATCTCCTGTTTGTTGAACTAGATTGTTAGAGATAAGATGGATTTATCTAGTTGAATGAGAAGCTTCAGGTACTGACTGTATTAAGATTTGAAGATTGTTTAGCACATCTAAATTAGTCATAAAGGAGTGATTTTGAATTAAGTTTATAGCAAAATTACATGCAGCAATACCAAGTAAAAGGAAAAATGTAAGGAACGATATCTTTTAGAATCTTGATACTTGAGATGGCATAGACATATTTTATATCTTTGACTTGAAAGTCTTAAACTTAGAGGTGGCAACTTAACTAGAGGCAACACTTGAATTTGCAGTTGTAATTGAGAACTCAGAATATGTCAATTCATCTTGAGATTTGCTTTTAAGAGTGTCATTGAAATTCAGACCTATTCTGCTGACAGATATTGCATCCTTCTCGTCAATTTTTATCACAAAGATATTAATCTCTGATCTTAAGTCACGATAAGAATATTTATGCACTCCAACATCAGCCTAGTAGGTTCCTATTTTGCAAGCTATATCTGGGAATTCTCTTCTGAACTATCTTTCTTTATTTAGGAATGTAGTGTCTACAGTCATTTAAGTACCTTTGATAACTTCAAACTCAAATTCTTATTACATAGCTGATTTACATATTTACTATATGGAAAAGAGTAGGTTATCATTCAGTGATAACTGCTTTTTAGCATTAGGAGGTGGCATACCCATTAACTTGCAAGATTATTCATTGATACCATGGATTAAGCCATCGCCATCTGTTAGCAGAACACATAACTTTGACATCTTAACATATTCATGCGAGTCATCTGCGATCCTGTACTTATTCAGAATCTTTCCAAATGTAGAAAAAATTAGTCCGAAATGTAGTGAAACCATTGGCTTAATATAGAAAAGAGTCATTTATAAGAAACCATCTTTTGTCATTACTGGTAATGGTTGATTTTTTTCAAGAAAGTTAGATTTACCCTTAGCTAGGAAACTACTTAAGAATTTATCATGAATTGCTGCGAAAGGGGCAGGCATTAATTTGTTTATCTTAGCTCCAATTAAATCTCTGGGATCATATCCATATACAAATCTACACGAGCTGTTAGCCTGTTTGATTCTCCCAAGTTCTTTAACATCACCTGATACCATTAGCAATGAGTATATATCTGAATCAAAAAATCTAATACCCTGTTCTCTCTGTTACTCTAGTTTCGAACTGTTTTTTATTTATTATATTCTTGTAACTAATTCAGAAAAAGTGGATTCATCTCGAAGAATATATCTATATGCAAGAGCATAGGTGCTTGATGTATCAATGCATAGAGAGTTTATTGTAATGAGTTTTGAGAATAGTGACTTAATTTCAATAATCTTATCTGATACAAGGTATGCAGTCCCGAGAGTTTTATTAACATCATAATCTTCTTTTATCAGATCTGTCCAAAACTATTAACAACTTAAACTTAACTCCTCCAAATTTCTCTCAAAATCAAGTTTATATTTCTCAAATTTAAGTAGCTAGTTAATATCAAATGATAGTGGACTTTCAAGTGATTTGTTCATCTCATCCTGTATCTGAGTCTTCAAGTGATAAATGAAGATTTTACCCTAGAAATTTTTGCAAGTAATAGCGTTCTCTAACTGAACGAAGAGGGCTTTATAGGAACTGTCACAGTACTTATGATTGAAAAAGCTCTTAAGTAATTTCACACCATATGCTTTAGGATAGACTTCGAGAAATTTATCTATTCTAATTTCGAATTCCTATTTGAAGATATCTAGTTTAGTCTTGTAGGTTAATTTATAAGGTAATCTTTTGAGATCTTGTAGCGAGTTAGATGATCCCAAATGATTGATACCACCCATAGACATACTAGCAGTTAAACGCTTCGATCCTACTGTTGTGAACTTCTTATCATATTCTGGTTCATAACTTCTACAAAGACATTACTCATTTTCGCACTCTTCCATGTGTCTACTTATTACAGAATGAATGTGCTTCTCTTATCCATGCTCTTCATTTTGAACTAATTTTTCCATTTCATGAAGCATGACGACTAGGTACATTTCTATTTCAAACAAACTCTTAAAATTCTTCATATCAGTATCATTCGTGATGATATCTTGCTCAGTCTTGGTAATCCAAAAGTGCAACAGAATGCTTTGGACTGTTGCTCCTAAGAAAAGAAAAACAATTCCACTCATACTTAGTGTTATTTGAGCTAAACCCTCAAAGCAAGTCATTAAGGAAAAGAGGAATATTTAGCACTCGAAGAATATCATTACTCCCTGAACTAATCTATTGTAAAAAGGAGGTCGATTGAGTCTATCATAGACCAGATAAGCTCCTAGCACAAGACAAGAAAAATTGATGATGTCTATATATTATTCGGTTAAAATTTCTATAGCAATTATCTAAACTAGTTTGTACATATTTCTTATGAAAGCTCCTCTATCATTCCATGATGCCCATGGAATGTTTTTGTCTGGAAACTGTCTAGTAATAAAGAAGTCAGAATAAGCTATCAAAAGCGATAGAAATACAAGACCAATAACTCCGAAATATAGAGCCATCTGTCTTAGCACTGAGTCACAGCCATGCTATATTTCATAATCCATTTCGCAGTAAAATTCTGACACAAACATCTTAATGGTGAATTAACTCAAAGCAGTAGTAATAAGTGTGAGAAATATACCTGATAACTTCACTAAAGATTTTATAATGCTAGACTATCTGTCTTGTGCATTTTAGTCTTCCTGCTTATGCGAGTTTGATTCATTACCCTTTGTTTATTAAATCTTTAAATCTCTCCCACGATAAAATATGAAGGCTGATTAGAGCATCAATAGTATTGACATTATAATGATTATTACCCTCACAACTGGTACTGTCAAAAGTTGAAACAGCTCCTCAGTAAGAGTGACCTCTCCATAAACAAGTTTTTAAATGGGAGTACTGATCATGTAAGAGACCTCAAAAGTAATAAGTATGAGGTAAACAAGCAAAGGAATGCGGAGGTTTTTGACGATCTCAAAGCTTGAGAGTGAAATTATGTCATTTACCTGGACTGTCTATTTTATTTCAATCTTGCCAAAGGAGGAAGCTCCTTGTCCATTAGCAGTTGATGAAAGCAACTAATGCATTTTAGAATATTTCCCTTTTTATTATAATTTCCTATATAAAATACTTCTTTATCTATTTTACTGCTTTATTTATTTTAACTAATTCTCTGTTTATCGAAATTTTTTATTCTCGGGGTTTTGGGGTTTTGGGGTTTTGGGG